CATAATTCCTCTTTGCCTTTTCTACCTCTAGTGGTGGCTGTGCTCCGGGGTGGCTTTGCATTCCATGCCCCTTTGCTCGCTATCTCAGTGACATCATGAGACTAAAGGAGAAGTGTTGGGCCAAGATCACCATTCTGACCCTCAAACACACTTGGACCCTGTTGATAAACACCTCCAGGGACTTCTCTATAGGGATCTCAAATCTGTTTGTGCTCTAAAGTTCCTAGTGAAAAGGTATCTGAGATGTATTGCTCTTTGCTGTTAAAACTCACTTGTGATGGTTCAGCAATGTAACGGTACTAAAGAAGATTGGGGTTTTTTTTGCATGGTCTGCAAATAGTGAAGAGCCTGAAAGTGTCTCCCTTGGGAAAAGAAAAAACAGCGAAAACACGGGCTACTTTGCAATATTCCTGCTCAAGTCTTGGTGAGAAGGTTTTCTCCCCAAATGCAGGAGGAGTCTTTACGAGGCAGGCAAAGTGTGATTGTGCACATTTTGCTACTCGTGAGGGGTGAAAAACAGGCTGGAATGTCTGACTGAAGGAAGAGCAGAGTATGATGGAGGGGGAAAATGAAACCCAAAAAGATGGATGCTGGACTGACTGCATGGATGCATTCTGGCAGCTGAATCTCAAGCCAATGTATGTAAACATGAAATGGTTTAACTCTGAAAATGAACCTGCATTATGTCTCCCAAACATAAAGGAGCTGCAAAGCTAATTAGGACAGTATTGACTTCTTATCCTTTGACATGGTGAAGATATTTACTGGTGTCTCCAGTCAGAAATCTTTCTCTGAGCTTCATCTAACTCCATGGACTCAGCCATAATCTGTATAGCTGAGTGCAATAGCTGTTGGCTTCTGGTTCCTCGCTGCTGGGAGTTTTTGTTTTTCCTCCAGTTATCTGAGGATGTGAGCTCTTTGAGGACTTATTTTCAGGGTACAGTGCTTCTGACGGGGTCTGGGTTAGCTGAAACTGGGGATTATATATGTGAAAATAGATTACTTTCAACTGCCCCCTGCTTTCCAATCCCTGCCCTTTCAGGCATTCACGGCATCCAGCATCCTGCGCACTCACATCCGCCAGCACTCGGGGGAGAAGCCTTTCAAGTGCAAGCACTGCGGCAAAGCCTTCGCCTCGCACGCAGCCCACGACAGCCACGTGCGCCGCACGCACAGCAAGGAGAAGGGCTGCACTTGCTCGGTGTGCGGCCAGCGCTTCCCGGAGCAGGAGGATTACCACTTCCACATGAAGATGCACGCCGCTCATTAGTCAAGAGCCCCACGGACACGTCCTGGACCAGCTTCGCGTGTGTATCGGTCTATGTGCGTGTGTTTGTGCGTGGTTGTGTGCACGCTACAGGAGGTGACATTTACCCTCGCAGAGATTCTTTGGGTACGTCCAAAGTCTCTGGACCCTGGGCGTATTTCTGAGTGCAGGGGACAGGAGTTTCTCGCCTGGGGACCCTGGTGCCACACTGGGGTGAAGTCCAACATGCGCAACCCCACCTTTCCCATCCTCTCCTCCGATGCCCTAATTTCCACAAAAGGAGGGAATTTTACCTGCCGTGAACCTTTTGTCAACAAATATCACTGCGAGGAGTGTTTCCATGCCTCTAATGCACCAAGTCTATGGACTGCCTGGTGCTGTCCATACCAAAGCTTGTGGGAGGGACGTTTTTATCAAGTGCATTTCCCAAAGCCCATTTAACCTTTTGTTTTGTTTGGGTGCATGACCAGGTATGGGGTCTACTTCCCCTTAACGTGCAAGACTCTTAATGACTCTCTACTTGAATGTGAACTGCCTCAGAGATGCTGACTCTTGGACCAGCATAGGGATATTTAATATTCCATCGTTCAACTCCACGGGGAGTTCCAGGGCAGTGAGACCGACTCTTCCACAGGATGCTGGACCCCAGATAGCCCAGGGCAGGGTGTGACAAAATAGCTGCAGGCCTAGCAGAGATAGTGGAGGTGGGCTCTGCTTTCTCACAGTTTAGAGGACCAGACATAAAGATATTCCCAAGCACCAGTGAGCTAGGTGGGTTGCTAGCAGTCAAGTGGCCTCGTAGAGGTGTGGCACCGTGGGCTCAGCACAGGCCAGGAGCAGGCACGATCCCACCACTGGGCTCTTCTGTCCTGTAAGCATTTCTTGTAGAATTTGCCACTGCTAAGAGTCCTGGCCAGGCAGGCCTGACATGAAGGCTGGGCTCCTCCGTTTCCTCCTGCTGGCTCTACGTAGGATGGCTGCTGTAGTGTCATTCCTGAATGCTTTTAAAAATGCACCATATACTAGTTCTCAAGGCACAAAGGTTTTAAAATCAGCTTTGCAATACTTCTGTTTAGGAAGGGGGAAACCCTTCTCCTATCCTAAATTTAAGATTTGAGGTGTAGGATAGACCATGCCAGGACTTCTCAGCCCCTAAAGCTCTGCACATGAAATTCCCTCCCTAGCCTGCAGAAATGCCTAAGCCTCCGTAGGAGGACTGCAGGGTTTCACCCTCCATTTCTCACTGACCATGGAAGCAAGGCAGGAGCAATTTGTGCAGGTTTTCTGTTGATTTCTTTTTAGCAAAAGGGAAGTATTTGCTCATAAAAATGCTGGGTTTATTTTCTATAGAAAGAGCTGCTCATTTAGCTATGGGAGAGAAGACGTACTCTGAGATCCTTTTCCTGAAAGCTGGTTTTGTTTCTTTTGCACTCTGACTTGGAGAAGGACTCAGAATAACACCTCAGACATCCTGTCCTTTCATACCAACAAACTTTGGCCCACATCAAAACCGTCTCAAGTGCATATTACAGTGGATAAAGGAATTTCAGTGTAAAATCCTAGGTGATTAGACCCTGATTTTTGCAAAGTATTTTCAAAATCATTCATGAACAGCATTCCCTGGCAATGTGAAATCTCATCTTGATGGAGGCTTAGCAAAAAGCCTGTGCTGAAGGACCACTGAGTATAGGGAGTGCTGTAACTGGTGCAGAAACCGCTTATCACCGAGTGGCCAGTACGATGGGGGGGGCTCTGTGCATCTGAGAGGGGCTCCCTGTGCCGGTGGGGCAGTGTGTTGCATCCAGGAGGGATAATGGAAGCCCCTGTGGGAGCTGGTTGATTAACAGAGACGATTTGTTGTTACTGGGATGATGAGGTTCTCTTAATATCCTAGATCAGCTAGGATTAACAAGGACTTTGCACATAAGTATTGGAGATAGAAGTTTTTATTTCGTGCCAACCTTAGCAATCTCTTTAACTACAGCCTAGACTAGAAAAAATGTTACCTGCACGTTTAATTATGTCATGCAGATACTGTATCTATAAATATCTATTGATTTGCACTAATATTATATGGTTTATTGTACCTTAAGTTGCTCTGTCCTCATTGTTTTCATGATAAAAATATTAAAAATATTTATAGAACCACTTACTTGTAAGTAAAATATTGAGGCCCAGCGCTAGGCAGTATCTGAAATAAGCCAGCCATTAGTATTGTACATACAAGTAGGTTTTAGGGTAGAATGAAGATCACATTTTGTTCTTAATTTTTTTGCTTATTTTAATATCAAAGATTCCTAGAATATAGCAGTCTGAATTTTGTACATATTGAGGGCTGAACTGGTGAGCTCTAAATAGGTAAAACTCACTCCTGAGCAGAAAGTTATCACAGTATTTACATCTACAAACCATTCAGGGGAACTGAATCTTGCTTCCAGCTGCCTGCCCTTATGGAGGTGTTTTTCCCCAAGCATACAGAACCCTGGCCAACAGAAATGTGAATTCTGTGTCTGAAGGCTTTGCTGGTTCGGTCCCATAAATAACTCGGGATTTGGTGAAATCCTCAGCTACTATTAATGAAATAAATGTTATGAGTAGGAATGGCTTTGAAGTGCTATGAAATGCATGGTTAGCTTCCCATGCAAGTAATTTATTTAAGTGGTGCATCTTCTGTAGTGTTTTTAGCTGTGTGCATTTTCTATTGCTTGAAGAACCCCCAACTATCTTGTACTAAAATATTAGCACCCTTCTACAATATTTGATGAGTTGTCTGTAAAAGAATGTGAAGGGTTTCGCTTGTGCTTACGATTGAAGGTACCGGTTGTCTTGCACATTAAACCTGTATATGTAAATTTTGATGCTAATTATTAACACTATTACAATGAGATTCATAGAAAGGATGAAAATAAATTATTTGGAGGCTGCAGTGCACACTAATGGGCTATAGGTTGTTTTCTGCCCGATGCATTGGAGTTATATATTTGTGGTACTAGCAAATGGATGAAGGGTGTTTTCTGTGTTATTTGTAAGTCATTACAGAGTCAAACTGTCTTGTACTGGGAATTGTGGTCCTTGTCCTGCTGGGCAGCAGCTGACTGCAGTAGAAGTCAAAGGCACCCAGTGTCCTGATGGATTGGGCCTTAAGTGTCCCAATAGCTCATGGAAGCCGAGGCCATTCAGTTCTGGATTGAGTTCACTCCCACCTGCAAGCAAGATGATGGATCCGGATTGAGCACTAAAAAAGCCATTTAACTACCTACCCTACAGCATTTAACTACCCTGTAGCATCCTCCTCTCCCTTCTGAATAGCGAGTCCCAGCTGTGCTGGGGCTGGGGGGCAGCGGGGGTGGCATTTGGCCAGCAGCACACTTCACAGCAGGGTAGGGAGAAATAAAGCAGCAGGGAGCAGGGGGGGAGGGCAGGCGGAGCTGCCCGGCCAGCCCGTGGCAAGATTTTAGCCTCCTGCAAGGAAAATGCAGCGACTGTCAGTGCAAACATATTGCTGTCCTTGACGGACAGGGTTTAGAAGAGATTAGATTTAGATTAGGGAATGCCCCTGTACTGTACGTCGTGTTGTGTACATGTGCCCTGTTTGCATCCAATGAGCTGATGTTTCCCTCCCCGGGGATTTGCACGTTTACTTGCACCTTCTGTGGCCACGCTGCCAGCAACCCAGTGAATGAGCAGCTCTGGCCAGCTCAGCGGGGTTTCAGGTATTTATACACACAGATAAGAAGGGAGGAGAGGGAGGGAGCACGTGTGCACGCTGTTTTTTCGTTTGGCAGTTTCCCGGGATGACTGCACAGTGCAGAAAGCCGCTTGCATGAAGGAGGCTGCACTATAAGTTCAATCAAAGGCAGAATATTTATGACCAAGCCAACTGACCAAGCTCAATCCTTTCGCTGGGAAGCCGCAGCTGCTAGGTCCCTCCTGAGCAGACACCGCAGTACCCAATGCTCCTGCTGGCCATTCCTGAGCCGCCGAGGCTGCAGAAAGCAGGATGTCCCTGCAGCTCTCCAAGGGACCAGGCTGTGGCTCTGCATGCCGTACTAGATCCACCTCTCCCGTTCTCTTCTTGCCGTCGTCAAATACAGGGCGGCAGCGACGTTTTCTATGACAGTGACTATATACACTATGTTCAATAGGTACCACGTTTCTCACTCAGTTTGGCTTAATCAGTGGCTGTAGCGTGGCTTCGCTGGCTGGGGACTCATTCTCACTGCATTCCCCAAGGCAAAGGATTACAGAAACTGTACCTGACGTGTGCAGCCTGGCTCTTCTTTCTGCTAAACAGGATTAAAAATGCTGCTGCCAAGGGGAGCAGCAAGCCAAGTGGTTGGGACGAATCAGCCCTGTAAGACATTAGCTGAGTTTAAGTGCTTTGCATTAGCCGAGTCAGGGTTTTTTAAATGTTAAGTGGAAAGTGATCTAAATAGAAACCAGAGGATGAGGGCAATCTTGGCTGTTTTGTTGGGGCTGTGGGGAGAAACAAAAAGGTGGTCCCAGAGCTCAGGCTGGTGAGTGCAGGGAACAAAAGGCCCGGCCACCGACATCTGCTGCCTCTGCATCCCCCCCGCATGTCCCTCCTCTTCAGACGCCTGGTCCCCATCCCCCTGCCACCCCAGCCCCTGTCCCGCTGCGCTCTCCGGCGGACTCGGGGGAGAGGGAGGTGGTTAACCACCAAGGGAAGGCAAAAAGCAGCAAGGAGCTTAGTGAATTGAAGATAATGCCACAAACAAATATTGATCAGTGCCAAACTGACCATTAAACGAGCCAGGGGAGCCCTGACTGGCTGTCCCCTCCTTCAGAAAGCTGTTTCTCGGGGTCCCCAGTCTCCCATGTGCTTCTGCAGCAAGCGCTGGGGTTTGTTTCACCCCTATGGACACAGTCACCGTCACCTTCATTTCCCTTTCCCTCCTCACACACGCACGTCCCCTTGCACCTTCTCCCTTCTGGCTCCCCTTAATGCACGTACTGCAGGGCCTTGGGCGCATGAGGGGTGT